TACAGTATGGAATCAAACAAAAAAAGGCTTTATAGTATCATTACACATGATTGTCTGCACAAGAGAAAGAACAACAAGCAGATGTTCCTTAGTATGGGATATGCCCTCCTGTTACTGCAATGGTTGCTTCGCACTGTCGCTTCAAACCCAGCACCATATTGTCCAACAAATCATGAGGTAAGAGTGTCCATTTCTCAATCCACGTCTGTTCAGCTATTGGGTGTTCCCCGGAGGATGTAATCGGGCCACAAGGCGTCTCCCTAAAGCATCCCACACATGTTCTGTGGGATTTAAGTCAGGGGAGTACGATAGCCAGTCCATTCCAGTGATATCTTCACTTTCCAGTAGCTTCTGAAAAACAGGAGTCCGTTGTGGCCGTGTATTGTCATCCATAAAAACGAAATCTGCTCCTATGGAACCTCGGAACAGATGCACATGGGGAAGGATTACCTCCTGACAATAGCGATCTTCGGTTACAGAACCTCTGTCGAAAATGTGGAGCTCTGTCCGCCTGTGCAGCATAATGCTTCTCCAGATGAGAACTCCAGGACCACGAACGGTATCTTTCGTGATGTGCTGGGATGAACTGTGTCCGACCTTTCTCCAAATCAACGGGCATTGAGAATTTTGTAGACTAAAATGAATCTCATCCGTAAAGAGGAAAAAACCCCCCCCCCCCCCCCCCCCCCCCCCCCCCCCCCCCCCCTGCATCACTCTAACGGTGGCTCCGATGGCCACTTTCAAACGGATTGCAACGTTCAAAAACGAGACCTTCTGCAAAAGGCTACCTTCTGCATCTGCATAAAGAGACATCTGGACACAGTAACGACACTTGTAGCCCCATTGTGTACCCTTGTGTGAGCTGTGGCGCTTGCTGACTGGGTTCGGGCTCTTTGCTTCAGGACGATATATAGGTCATCCACAGTATTGCTTTCCTGCGGCGGCAACCACCAACTTTTCTAAAAACGTACCTATGTTTGTAAGCTTTCCAAGTGCGCAAAATGACACTTTTATGATCCGAACTTTGAGCTACACTGCTGACACTATGCTCCTCCTCCAGCTTTCGATCAGCTTCCATGTGCGAAGTATCCAGGGGATTTTTCTAGCCATATTTCAAGAAAGAACTCATTGTACTTCATCGAATGTCTTTAATTGCGCTCCGTCCTTCCTTTTATTGTAGTTCAGTTGAGTGTGCCGACTGCACGTGTTTTGTGTACACTCACGTCGCCGTGACGTTTGTTCCTGACATTTGCATACGCATGACCTTTCTACTGAATGCGTATTCATTGTACTGATCGAAAGAACCCCTTTTCTGCAATTTATGGCTATCTGATTAAAATTTACATTGTTAGGTTTTGCACACCAGTGTATATTTCCTTAGAACCCCTTCTGAAAGAATTGTAGTCTCAAGTTGAGTGTGCCGACTGCACGTGTTTTGTGTACACTCACGCCTGTGACGTTTTGTTCCTGACATTTGCATACGCATGACCTTTCTACTGAATTGCGTATTCATTGTACTGATCGAAAGAATCCCTTTTCTGCAATTTTATGGCTATCTGATTAAAATTTACATTGTTAAGTTTTGCACACCAGTGTATATTTCCTTAGAACCCCTTCTGCAGGTATTACTTTAAAGCTGTGTGTGTTGTGTGTGCCTTGCTATAAGTAGTGTTGTAAATAAGGTAATTGTGATGAGGCTTTTGAAATACATTACAGTGTTCCCTCGCCACTTCGCGCTTCATGTTTTGCGGCTTCAGTGCTTCGCGGGTTTTTCCAAAATATTCATCAAAAAATAAAAATGAAAAAGTACAATTAAACAAAGAAATGAGTTGACTCAGAGTACATACCACGGGCTCTCATAAAGACTCATGATTGGTTTACGGTGCGACATAGACCAATGAGAGTACGAGTGAATTTATCTCTGTGAGTTGATTTTCTGCGCATCATCGCAACCTCACCTAGAATATTCTCTTGTTGTATCTAGCTAGTCTTGTCCATGATGTTGACTGTCTCGCACACTGTATAATTTAGTGTGGTGTTGGCGATAATTTTTTTTATTAATTAAGCTCTTATAATGCAGCCTAAGCGCTGTGCCCTTGCGAAAGCTTCCTCGGGGCCGCCCAAGAGGAAGAAGGTGATGACCATCAGTGAAAAAGTGAAACTTTTAGATATGATCAAAGAAGGCAGAAGTTATGCATCTGCATCATGCCATTACAGAGTGAATGAATCTACAATGCGGTACATCAAGAAAGAGGAAGCAAACATCCGCAAAACTGCTTTAATAACCTTTAACAAAGAAGCGAAACGTGTGGTAACTTCGCGTAATAACAGAATTGTAAAAATAGAAGCTGCATTGGCATTGTGGATTGCTGATTGCAGGAAAAAGACATTGAGTTTGGAAACTAATATGATCAGGACAAAGGCCAAAGCTCTCTACAACCAAATCGTGCCCGAGGACAACAATGAAGAGGCTGACGAACCTCAAGCCAATAATAGCACTGCCATGAGTGATTCACCTCCTCGAGGACAAGGCTTTTCAGCCAGCAAAGGCTGGTTTGAAAAACTTCAAAAATGATACGGCCTCACAAACGTGCTTCTGTATGGTGAGGCTTGCCCTGCTGACAGCGATGCTGCTTGTCGTTACGTGGAGGAAGAATTTCCTAACCTAATCAGTAAGCGAGACTACCCCCTGAAAAAGTTTTCAACATGGATGAAACATGACTTTTTTAGAAGAGGATGCCTTTGAGTACATTCCTCTTCAAGGACGAAGTGAAGAGGCTAGGCTTCAAGGCTCACAAAGACCGTGTGACTGCCATCATGGCTGGCAATGCTGCAGTTTTTATGCTTAAGCCGGGCCTTATTTATAAAGCCAAAAATCCACTGGCATTAAAAAACAAAAATACGACTCTGTTGCCCTTGTTCTGGATGCATAACTAAAAGGCCTGGATAATGAAAGCTCTGACCCTTGAATGGTTCCTCCATTGCTTCATTTCCCAGGTGAAGCTGTATCTGGCTGAAAAGGGCCTCCCCTTTAAGGTCCTTTTCCTGATGGACTGTGCAGGGCATGCAATATGATGGTGTGCAGATAGAGTTTCTAACCCCAAACACTACATCTTTAATTCAGCCGATGGATCAAGGTGTCATTCGTGCCTTTAAGGCACTCTACACTCGCTCCACGATGGAGGGCCTCATCTCGGCAGTTGACGATGCCAATGACAAATTCACCTTGAAAGCATACTGGTGCAGTTACAACATTGCCTCATGTTTGTCTAATATTCAGCAAGCCTTAAAAGACTTCACTTCTGACGAAGTTCATCACTCAGCTGTGAAGAAGGCGGTTAGGCTGGCTCACATCATAAGACATGAAGGATTTGTCAACATGACAAAAGAAGACATCAACACCCTTATCGATTGCCCCTCGGACCCACTGACCGATGAAGACCTCCTTGAGATGACAAAGTTTGCAAGTGAGGAAGAAAACAAAGAGAAAGATGAAGAAGAAACTGAAAAGCGTGGCCTTAACCTGGAGAATCTGCAACAATTGTACAACATGGCAAGAGCGATGCAACAATTTGCACAAGACATTGACGACAATATCCACAGGCATTAAAAAACAAAAATATGGTTCTGTTGCCCGTGTTCTAGATGCATAATTCCAAGGCATGGATAAAGAAAGCTCTGACCATTGAATGGGTCCTCCATTCCTTCATTCCCCAGGTGAAGCAGTATCTGGCTGAAAAGGGCCTCTCCTTTAAAGTCCTTCTCCCGATAGACTGTGCAGGAGGCCATGCAACGGACCTGCAGTATGATGGTGTGCAGATAGTTTCTACCCCCGAACACTACATCTCTAATTCAGCCAATAGGATCAAGGTGCCGTTAGTGCCTTTCAAGGCACTCTACGCTTTGCTCCACGATGGAGGGCTTCATCTCGGCAGTTGAAGATGCCAATGACGAATTCACTTTGAAAGCATACTGGTGTACTTACGACATTGCCTCATGTTTGTCTAATATTCAGCGAGCATTAAAGGGCATGAAGAGTGAGACCATAAATTCTAGCTGGAAAAAATTATGGCCGAACGTGGTGCACGACTATACAGGCTTCACTCTTGAAGAAGTTCATCATTCAGCGGTGGAGAAGTCGGTGAGGCTGGCTCACATCATAAGGAATGAAGGATTTGTCGACATGTCAAAAGAAGACATCAGCATCCTTATTGATAGCCACTCGGACCCACTGACCGATGAAGACCTCCTTGAGATGACAAAGTCTGCAAGTGAGGATGAAAATGAAGAAACTGAAAAGCATGGCCTTACCTTGGAGCATCTTCAACAATTTTTACAAGACGTTGATGACAATATGGTTCGAGCTGTCGAGTTCAGCAATTGGGTTGACGGCATTATGTCCTTATATAGGGGAATTTTGAAGGAAAAGAAAAAAACAAGGACAATAACTATCCATCACCATGTTTCTCTCCTAGGTAAAGCCCGCGGCTCTACCGTCAGCACCTCCAGCAGAAGAGTCTCCGAGTGAGCCTAAAGCTTCTACGAGTCAAGTGAGAGCCTCTCCTCCACCATCAACACAAGACTCTTGCCTTTCTCAGAATGCAATGTTGATTAATGTTTATTACTCTATAAGTTTTTGTAATTAACTTTATTAATTACCTTACTAATTAGCACTGACACGTTTAAGTAAATACTTATATTGTTGTAATTTTTGTCTGAAATGTGTAAAGTATAAATACTGTTTACATATTTAAAACATTCTTGCACCTGCATACATGAAAATTCCTAGGGGCAAATCTTACTTCGAGGTTTTTCAACTTTCGCGGAAGGTTTTGTTCCCCTTTAACCGCAAAAAACGAAGGATCACTGTATGTCTTTGTTTAGATGTTTTTATGGTGATTTTGACTGAAAGAGATTTTACCATGTTCTCATTTTTATTTTGTATATAATGTGAAATGTGTATGTTTCATATATTTCTTTATTTTTTTTTAATCATTTAGTTTTGATGTTTTTATGAAGTGTGAAGCATTTTATACTGGTGGGAAAGTGCAGGTAAGCCTTTTTCTAAAGTATATACTTATTCATTTGGTGTAACTATTATGTTTTTGATTCTTTCAAAGTATTACTTTTATTATTTCTGCTGTGATGATGTTCTGAATTCAAGTATTTGATTTTTAGTGTAGGAAAATTGGAAGGGTTTTTAAATTTTGTGATATTAATACTTATGCTGTAACTGAAATTGTCTTAGGATTAATAAAGCTGTAGAAATGTTTTCATGTGTTAAGTACCATCACTAGCAACTTTGATAGGTATTTCCTTATCACCATGGTCTCTGTTATTTAAACAGTGGTAAAATTATAGATAAAACACCAATATATGCTACAAACCTTCATCAGTATCTGTCATTCCTAACCATGATCTATTGTTTACTGGTTACGAGAAGAGCTGCAAGTAAACTACGTTATTGCAGTTTCTTTTTCATATATATGCTAAAAATCACAGCATGCAAATGCTAAAATTCAAATAAATAAAGCTTATAAATAAATAGTTTGCTCACCACAAGAAGAACTCTGAGTATTTTGGTTCTCAATGTATATTCTTAAATTTTTTTTTTTTTTTTTTTTGATTTAATGAGAAGAAGATGCTTTATATTCTTCCATGAAAGACATGTTTTATTTTACATTCAAGTGGAGGTAAAATGCCATGAAATGTTCAATGAAATGAAACTACATATATCAATAAAACCATTTAAATGTATATGCAGGTAATTGAAATAGAGGTAAAATGCCATGTAATGCTCAGTGTTAATGAACTATATATATCAATGAAAGTATTTAAAGATGTAACTGGAAGAGGTGCAAGACAAAAAAAGAGTTGCTCTGACAGTTGGTTCATTGATTCCAGATTTCTATTTATAACATCGCAGCAGCTTATTTACTGTTGGGCAGAGGAACTGACATCAATTAAATGGTGTAAGGAGCTGCTTATCCTTTATGAAAATATGACTATTGAACTGGATATATTTAATGATGGAGGTATATTCTGTAATCCAATTCAGTGTTTCTCAAACCTTTTGGATTTTAGCCCATTTTTAGAAAACACTGGATGCTCAATACCTCCTGGGAACTCGCATCTATATTGTTTCCAAAAATATGCGAGGAATATAAAACAGTTATGATAAGGTTCAAACATTAATGAAATTAAGCGTAAATATACTGACATATTTAAGTAAATTATATGAGGAATGGGTAATGAAATAAGTTTATTAAGAAGGATTATTTGTCAATATATGGCCCCATTTTTGTTAAAATCATTCTAAAATCTCTGGGATTAATTATCTGCAGCCGCTTTCCTTTTTTAGTTATTGGAGCTGTTACTGTGCTTAACGCATGTATTCCCTTAAATAAGATGAAGTGAATGAATGCTATGAGAAATTTTTCTGCATTATTCCATAAACCGGGGTAGACTTCAGGTACCTTCTTCTGCTGTCAAAACTGTTGATATTCAGATTTAAAATTCAACTCTTTATTAAACACATTAAATTCTTCTAAGTCTGGATATGTTTCTGAAATTGTGCATGAAAATGGATCTAAAACCTAATCAGCAACATGTATATTTAAGATATCTTGAAATCATTTCTTTTGAAATCCCAATTCCAAATATTGGCAATATTCAAATACGTCTTTGCCACTTAAAAAAAAAAAAAAAAAAAAAAAAAAAAAAAAAAGACAATTTTAAGTTCTTCTAGTCCCAAGTTTTTTCTTTACATCTGAAGCTTAGCGCAAACTCAAATTATAGGTTTTGTTAGAATGAGGTCATGATCTTGGTGCTGGAGGTTCAATTCAGTCAATTTATTAAATAAATCTATCAGATAAGCAACACGTCTTTGAATTTATCAAGTCTGCTTGTAAAGCAGCATCTTTATCTTTCAAAACTTCTTTCCCTGCATTGAAACATTTGGAAAAACAGTTTGAACAGAATCCCTTTGATAGCCAGTGGATTTTTGTATGAAGAAATGCATGACTGTCGTTTTTAATACAGATTTGTGTAACTGAGCTGTCATTCAAAGAATTACCTCTGACTTTACTCGCTACTGTGATGATGAGATGGCATGAGAATGTAAATGTTCATGCAGATATTTTGCTATTAGATGTTGCCGATGAATAACTCAGTATATGGTCAATATATGGTACCTCCATTTTCAGATACGCCATAAAAACCATATTGCTGCATCCATCTACTGCTGGAGCACTATTACCCAGCCAATAATAGTATTTTATTTAAGAGAATCTCTAAAAAGATTTTCATACTATGAAAGAATTATTTCCCTTATTAGTTTATAAAGTTTGGGAAATAAGAACTCATGGTAGATTTGTTGATTGTATATAGAACATACATAAGTGTAATATAAGACAAAGTTTACTCTTCAAGCTATATTGAAAAATAATATATTTTTAAAATATTGCATAGAGAGTTTTCTATGTTTTCAGTCATATTATTGATTCATCTTTGGACAATGATGTTATATAAAGTTATTTCTCTGATGATTTTTAATGATGTCTTATATTTCATCATATCTCCTTCATAGCTTATATAACTAGTTCTCCAGTTATATGTGGTTTCCTTGATCTCATAAGTAAAGCAGTATTATCAGAATACATGCAAGTTATTACATCTTATTTCGATGTTGTGGGAAAGATAATAGCCAGTGAATGCTATTTGCAAATTTCTCTTTGAGTACTTGAAAATAAAGTACACCTTTATTCTTTTTTCAAGATGTACTTTTGACTGATGTTCTTGGAGTTTGGAAGGCATAATATCTTTATTTGAGAAAATTTTTCTTGTAAAAAGAATAAAGATGTGCTTTATTTTCCAGTGCTGAGATCAATTCAGTATAAGTGGCTTTAACAGTAGATATAAATTGTGTAAATGATATGCTCCTAAAATGGTAGTACTCGAATACTGCCATATAAACACTATTTCTTCTCGTTGCCCTTCAATTGTTATATGCCACCCTTCCCAGTATCTCTTGTGTCTTCAGTTGTCTCTTCAAAGACCTCTTTGGTCTTCATTTGAAGGGGAGAAGGTATTGCCCACTTTGAAAATTACTGATCTAATCCAAAAACTAAATAAGTGAATATAGGAGCTTGAAAAAATTCTGAAAATAAATCTGTTTGCATGATAAGGAAACAAAGCTGGCAGGGTTCATTTTCAACACTGCACATTTAGTGCATTGTGTCGGAAAATTGGTGAACATTTGTTCAGGTTTTGAATAGCAACCACATATAGGACCCCCTCCCAAAATAAAAATAAAACATAAACCATGTACAAAAAGAATCGGTGATGTAATCGGACTGTTGTGAGTGTATAAAAAAGAGGAACTAGAAAAGGAAGGTTAGAGACATTTTATTGTGAACATAAATTTCATTTTGTTGATCCACCAGAAGCTGATTGTGCATAAAATGTTGAAACACTATAGTGATGAAATAAGGAAAACAAAAAGGCAACCTCACCATCATCATGACTTTTTCCTTTCAGATTTCATGTGGCAGAAGTCTTTGAAACAAGAGAATGGTTTTGATGCCATATTAAAAGCATTCATGAAAATCTTGCTGAAACTGTTAGAAGTAAATATGAACTTGGTGATTATCTTGGTGTCAAATGGATGTTTACAAAATGTAGGTTGTGATAATAAGGAAATACCCTTTGATGAGCTTTATCTTTTGATTGATTAATACAGCTTTATGCTTTATTGCTTGGTACTTGCACATAAATAATTCTGTTATTAAATTTTTATCTCGCTTAATTACCATTCTAATTACCATTTTAGGAGCATATCATCAAAGAAATCTAATGAAATGAACATTTATGACATAGATGTATCATATAGAAATTTTATAATATTTATAAAATATTATAAATAACAAATCATACAGATTTTATCATATAGAAAAATGTGTATCATGTTTATTCATGTTTTCTCCTCTTTTTTTTTTTTTTTCTATTTATTGTGCATATTTGTTCTGTCGGAGTTCAACAGTCAAATCCCTCTTCTAATCATTCTTTCACTCATAACTATATTGCCATAAACCTCATAGTAGATTCGCCTATGGTCGCTTATTCCTTGCATTTAAAAAGCGAATTATGGAATGCATTTCATAGTCTGCAGACATTTTATAGTTTTAAATATCTTTAATGCAAGATTTATGTGTATCACCTTTTAACCATGTGAACTTTTCTGTTTTGACAGATTCTTTAGTCATAGAAGACGCAGTAGTGCATTGACAGATTAACACCATCTGTTGGGGCCAAAATTATATTCCAGCACTTACTTTCTGAATAACCTTCATATGTTCTAATCTGATAATATATAAAGATGTGTTATAGCTCTTTCTTTAGGACTTTTCATTTTTTATTCCACAGTTGTTTTTCTACTGTTGTTTTGGAGGAGAAAATGATGCCAAGGTTTGAATGAGCAATCTTGAAATTCATATGAATAAATAAAATTACCATTTGAAAAATAACAGAAACTGACATTCTTATATGTGTGAGAATGATGTAACCATATCAAAGTTAAACCATGTTAAAAATGTAAGAGGGTGATACCTGAGTTTGTATATTATATTCTTTTCTTTAGCAGAGCCATTTTGGGAAGAGCTAAAAGTAATATGCATGCTTGATATCAGTGTGAGTTAATTTTCCTGCAATTTTTTGTCATCAGCAAGTGACACAGAATTTTGGGAATGTGTCTTTTTTATTAGGAAAATATGAAGGGGTTGAAACTTTTTTTTTTCCTGAACTCTTGGCTATTAGAGAAAAACTGATTTATTTGTCCTTTTTTAAATAGACTTTGCAGTTAATTAGAAAATTAAAGATAGGGAATACTGTTTGATGAAAAAACATGGAATTTTTTACATCTAAAAAGTCTTTCTCATAAATACGAATTCAGCATAAATTTTAATATTATTCTCATCAAAATTTATTTTCCTTCCTCATGATAAAAGATTTCTTATGTATTGGTTTATAGAAATGCATAGATATATTATTCATTTTTAATATTATGTATATAATTTTAATTTCATTAATATAATTTTTTTTTCCAAATTCAGTTTACAAAAGATGGGCAACATATTCTAAGCATTTGTCAAGGAAAACTGAAACAGTTTCAGATTGATGGCGGCAAAACTACTGATGCGATTGAAAATGTAAGTCTCAGCTTATAAACAATGAGTTTTTATTTTGATTACAGGTGCATTCACTTTCTGTATAATCTGTAATGATCCTGACATTTCTACATATATATTTTTGCTGTAATACAGTTTGAGAATTTGCAAAAATCCCACTGTAACATAGCATTCATACAGTAGTTACACTGTATATGATTTGGTCAAGGACTAAGATATCTGCCTGTGGCAGAATTGCTGGTAAATGTAAAGTATTCAAATATTACTTTTGTCAAATCATAGTATGATGAAAGAAAATATCTTTGTTGCAAAAATCATATTTTGTGTTTCTTTGTTAAAGCACTATACCGAGCTGCCAAATTTGACAAATTTATTGGTCCATTCTATAAGGTATTCAAATATTCCCTAAGGCTTATGCAGTGACTGTTAGAATAAGAAAGGTAACACTGCAGCGAGAAATTGTCATGATAAAATAGAAAAGATTAGAAAAAGGAAAGAAAAATATTAATAAACTAGTTAATAGCTGAGCTAACTTGCTCTGATTGGTCTGAAATTGATGTTGATACATACATACACACACACATACAGTAAGACCCCGCTTAACGCGGGGGATACGTTCCATCAAAATAGAGCGTAATGTGAAACAGCGCTAAACGAGGCTATCTTTACATGTAAATATTTGGGTTAGGGAAAGATGGCTAGGAAATTGGTTAGGTATTAAATTTAAAAAGTATGTTTTTTTTAATAAAAAAACCAAACATTTATTCTTAAAGCCCAAATTAATACCACATTATTATTTCTTGGCAAAATAAAAACAAAATATAAATAACAAAACGAATATTCTTAAAAAAAACAAATAAAATTCTAAGTCAGTCATATTTAGTTAGCCTTCCGCTTTTCAGTGTTCTGCCTTTTTTGTGACAAAAGCATCTAATGTTTGTTTGCCTTTTCTTTGCGTTGTTCTCTTAAAAGTTCTTCATAAACGGATAGAGCATCTCTAACACCACACCTTACTTTTGAGCTCCTGTCAAAATTCGGATCATTTTCAATGAATTGATCCATTATTTCAGTTATGGTAGACAAACTCCTTTTTACAGACGCCATCGAAAGTTCTTTTTGCTCTTCTTCTGAATCACTGCTGTCAACATTTTTGTTTTCTTCTTGTTCAGTTAATTCCTTGAGCTCATCATTAGAAAGACTAGCCGCTGCTTCTTGAATTATTTCTTCGACATCTTCCACATTTACCCCTTCAAAATATGTCTGTACAATACCGCACCAAACAAGAAATACAAGTACACTCTTTCGGATATGTATTTGAAACCTATCGCTGCATAATATTTCGTGGAATCCCCGTATGCTCCGAGCGATTTCGTGGAATCCCCGGGTTGAAATAAACGAGCACTAAACCAAAACAGCGTTAAGCGGGCTCTTACTGTATATACAGTATAAAGTACGTAATCCGGACTTGTCGGGACTTACTTTCTTTCGGTTCCGGATTAGGGGTTTTTCTGGATTATGGATCATCAGTTTAAATCTGGTAAGATGGCATGCAGAAATTATGCAGTTAAAAATATGAAATTGTAATTTATGAAATAAAGAACAATTATGATCTAAAGGGTATCAAAATTTACCAAAAAAAAAAAAAAAAAAAAAAAAAAAAAAAAAAAAAAGCTTAATATTTATTTGTTTACTTTATTAAACATTTCTTTTAATGTAAGTTGTTTAAGATGCTTCCACAAAAAATTCAAAAAGTTCCTTTTTCTTGTGTCATATATGGTGGACTTTCCAATGCCATACTTCTCGCATAATTTTGAGACGGATAGGCTTTTATCGATTTTGTGCAGCAATTCCACTTTTTGTTTAATGAACATCGAAACATACTTTCGTTTTGTAGATCCTTTGGCAGCTCCAGAATTGGAAACTCTTTTTGACATAATCGAAAGTTCAAGCTTAATTTTTATAAAATTGTTCTAACAGTCTGCAAAAAATAATAAGCCGGATCCAATTAGAAGATTAAGGAACAGCGCAATCTGCAACATTAACTGAAATGCCTTAGATAATTTTAGCCTAGCTTATACCGTCCGTTATACATTATATACATTTCGTAGGTGTATAATGGATGGTAAAGTTTGTAGCTTTGAGGTCCAGATTATAGATCATTCTGGATTATGGACGTCCGGATTACAGACTTTGTACTGTACATATAATTAATAAACCATGTTTTTTAAATACATAATATAATCGTACCTAGTATTTTTGCACATTAAATTGTTAGAAAATTTATCAGTAATGACATAACGTAAGAAATTTAGAACCAATTTTTCACAAAGACCAAAAATTGAAATTTGTAAGTAATAAATTTCGAATAATCCTATAAATGTAAAAAAAGAATTTAATAAATGCTAAAACCAAAATACTTTAAACAAGCAATACCCCAATTAAAAAAATCACTGAAATATACAGGAAAAAGAACATAATAGAAGAAGAATTCAATCAACTTCAGTGCCACTTTGCCAGGAGGAGGAACATTGTAATCAATTGAAATTACTCTTCTAAAAAAAATCCTTGTTTCTCTGCATCCAGAATCAGCTGATGAACCATTTCAGTGCATTTTAATTATAATAGTTCACCCTCCTCAGGGGGCTCACTTTTGTGAGTACGGGTGTGATAATCCCGAGGGCCCTTCAGGGGATCATCTTCGTGGTGAGACGGGTGTCATGATCCTGGAGCCCCAGTGATCTATCCTCTTTTCCGTCTCCTCTCCTCTTGGCTGGAACTTTTTCCCTTCCCTTTCCCCTCGTGGTTTCTCTCTACGGAGTTTGGGGCTCGTCACGAGAAACTGGAGCAGCCCTTGTCTCTAGTTTTCGAGTGGCGAGAAAACTGCCCACGTGTTTGCCGTGCGTGGAGACCCGTGTTGCTGGAAAGGATGGTCCTGGTAGTTGAGGGGCGAGGTACCGTCCCCAACACACTGCTTTGGCCTCTGCTTCAGCTAAACGGGAGGCACCTTAGTCGTCCTCACGGGTGTCAATCGGCTGGTCACTAGTCCTTGTGTCAGTGGCTTGGGGTCAAGCTCTCCGGAGTACCTGCTTTCGGGAAAGCTGACTGTGGAGCTTCAGTTTGCGTATAGGTCCGGCTAGCCCTAACACAGGAATCTGTGTTCCCTTGTTGGGCTCCGTGGTGGGCGGGGCCATCGGACCCGAATTTTTCTCTTTCAATCCATGGCTTCCTCTTTTTATCTTGAAAAAAAACCTGACTGAAACCAACCAAGATATTGAAATGATAAACCTAAACAAGATGCAATGCCAAAGATATTTAAATTATTGACAAATCCATTACCAAGAAGATCCGTATTGTGCAAACCAAAGATATAGATGACAAATAGCAAGAAGATCTATACCAATGCAAATGCCAAAGAAACTACTGAAAATCCACACTTCCTTGTTGTTCTCTAGTGCCTTCTGGTGAATTGCAAAAGATGTCTCCTTTTCTGGTAAGCAAATACATTCATTCATGTATAGGTGAGCCAAGGAACATAAAGCGTCTCCGTTTCTGGAGACCTGCTTATTATACTGTTTTGGCCAGTCCAGTCTGCTCAAACCAAACATGGACAAGTACTTAACTGTGTCAAGCACAAAACACTCAACTACTGTAAAGGTGTGATCTCGGAAATCGACCTTATGCTCGTTTCAGAAGAAAAGTTCGTTTCCGAGTTAGCTGACCCAAAGGTTTGTGCTGCTAAGCGGATCAAGATGCGAAAGGAAGGTCAGCTGATTGACACAAAACATGTGATCCTGACCTTCAAATCGCCTGATCTGGCAAAGACTATTAAGGCTGGATATCTAAATTGCCTCGTAAGACCATATATTCCAAACCCCATGCGATGCTTCCAGTGCCAGCGTTTTGGCCATTCCAAGATGTCCTGTCGTGGGACCCTGACGTGCGCTCATTGCTCGTCGGTTGGCCACGATAGTGATGATTGCACCGCTGCAGCACTGTGTATTAATTGCAAGGGCAACCATCCAGCATTTTCCCGTTCCTGTCCAAAATGGAAATTAGAAAAGGAAGTTCAGACCATAAAAGTTTCTAGGAACATTTCATATGCCGAAACCAGAAGACAAGTTCAAAGCACACAGCCTCAATGAAAAAAATCATATGCTAATGCCGTGAAATCCACACACACTATAGCCACCCAAACATCCGTAAGCACACAGACTCCACCAAATAAAACCCAGCAGCCTGCAAACAAGAAAAAGGAAAATCCAACCCATGTAATACAAAATAAAGAAATAACAATCTTGAGCAAACCAAAAACTGTGCCTTCAAAAATAGTATCCAAAAATAGAAGCCGAAGCAATAGTTCTGTAGATGGTATAAATTCTGAATCTCTAGATTCAGACAGTATGGAAGTGGAGGAGGGAATGGAAGTTCCCGAACATCTGCTTCCGCAGAAAACTAAAAAGGAACACAGGAAAAACAAACATCAATCATAATGGCCACCCTTGTCTCATGGAACTGTCGTGGTTTCCACCGAATTTTCGGGTGCTATAGTAAATGCTTATCATCCTGTGTGCTTGGCAATACAAGAGACAAATCTGAAACCAGATCAACATGCAAAACTTCGGAGGTTTTCTCTCGTCAGGAAGGATAACCTTGCAGGTGAGCGTGCCAGTGGAGGGGTATGTCTCCTCACCTCACTGGACTATCCCTCAAGTTCCTTTTCTTTGACAACATCTCTCCAAGTTGTTGCTGTACAGGTAAATTTTCATATTGTATTTTTAGTCATTTCTATTTAGTTACCTCCTAATGAGCACATTCATCAGCAAGATTTAAATGTCTTTTAGAGCAGCTGCCTGAGCCTTTCATCATAATAGGGGATTTTAACGGCCATAGTCCGCTCTGGGGTAGTAAAGATACAAATTGCCGAGGAAGACAAATTGAGCAGATGATCGAAGATCATAGCCTTTGTCTCCTGAATAATGGGCAGGATATGTACTTCCATGAGCCTTCAAGGACATTCCACG